CGATACAGCAAATTTTCTTTATATCAGTACTGCTCCGATATAATATATCGGACAATATATCAGTGCACTTCTACTGTGATCATCTATCAGTGAGAAACATACCTGAACTAGAAGATGTGCTAGAGGTGGTTCCTGAAGACTGTGACTGCTCCATGGCAGGACTCGTAGACACACTGTTACTTGTATTTGTACCTTCATCTGCTGTTTTCTTAAAGAAGCTGTGCTGCAGGGCATAGTATGGTTGAATTCGAGTTTTGGGATCATAGTCAAGCATCCTTAAGATGAGGTCTTTAAACTTCAAGTAGTCAGCTACAGTATGACCCGATTCCCCAGCACGACGTCCACCTGGTCCCCCCGTTTCAACTCCAAGTATGTTGTGAAGTTTACGAGTTCCAGGTGGTTTGTACTCCTGTTGAGAAGTCAGAAATTCCATGAGTTTTATTCTAGTTATAAACTAAAGCTTAAAATTAATATAATTTAAATGGATCATTGAAAAAAAAAATCAAAGTTAAAAACTCTTTGTCAATATTTTTTGATATTATATTAAATAGTATTAAAATTAATGATCCAGTAAAACACAAATTCAATCAGCATCAGTAGTCAACAAAGCTATTCAGAGAATCTACACCTTATAGAATATATATAACCTACCCTTTTTCCATCTTTGGTCTTCTTTAAGTTCCAAGTGCTATCTGGCAACTTCTCAAAGAACTTTCTTGCTTTTGGTGCTTGGTCAAGAATATGAACAGGTGGTATCCCTAGAACTTCCACTATTTTATTCATTTGATCCACCTAGTTCAAAGATAATTGTTATGAATAAGAAATTACCCAGTTATTTAGTACACATGGCAGAATCTAAAATTCAATACATAAAGGTAGGGAGAAAATGTTTGCTATCCATATAAGCTGCGGAGTTCATAATTAGTTCTACATTTAAAGAAAAAAAATTCAGAGCAAATATATTAAGTATAAAAAATTAGATCAATCAATAAATTAAAATCTGAGATCAATATCTGATGATTTAGATACCTATCAGGATACTGTTTCTACTACAATGCTGTTGACCATTCTCAAATAATTAAACAACTTTTGCTTTACAATTAATCAGATTAAAATGCAAATTAGAATGAACAGTCACTTATTCTAAAAAATTACAGACCTCATTTGCTCCACTAAAAAGAGGCTCTCCAGTATGCATTTCAACTAAAATACACCCAAGGGACCACATGTCAATTGCAAGATCATAAGGCATTCCCAGTAGCACCTCCGGTGATCGATAAAAACGACTTTGGATATACTGGTATATCTGAAATAAAAGTATTGAAAAAAACCAAATAAACTTCTACATAGTATTATCTTGATTTATATATTCATCACTTACAACAGGAAATTGCCTGAAAAAGTAATTTTGGAATAGGGGAGAACCACAAAGAAAGTTTGACATTTTAATAAACTGCATTTGTACTATGAAGTCAGAAGTGTTACTAACAGTACTCAATACTAACTAGTACTCACTCACAGAACCTACACTGCTACACTTTGCTTCAATCACAGAAACACATTTTTAAGTATTTATCTTGTTCATTCTTTTGAGTTTATAAATATTTTCTCCATTGTCCATCCTATTTAGATTTCTGTTGACTACCTGCTGTAGGTCATGAACACACTTCTTCACACTTCCCCCCAAACACTTACAAGTACAATATTCAGTAGCACTTAATGATTTGGAAGCTTAAGTTAATTTTTCAGTTACTTAAGGACTTGCGACTCTATATCCCATTGCCCTGCAATGAACCTTAAGATGTCTGAAAATTCTGCTTTACAGGAACCTCTGTCAACTGTCTGCCTCATGGCTTTGTCTCACAACTGCCAGCCATGGCAAAATTACTCTGCACGTTGGATGCTTCTTCACCAGCTGAAAATCAGTCAGTAACGGAGTAACCTAGCTACAATGATAGGATATCAGAGAAAGAGAGAACGGTTCTTAACATGTTCTATGTGAATTGCTATAATTTCAATATGCAGACTCCCAATTAAAATTAAAATACCATATTTACTCAAATAGAGGACCCTGATTATAAGATGACCCCTCCATCAATTATATTCTATATATGGAAAATTTATAAATTTGTCATAATTTTCCAGGTATAGAATCTAATTATTGGAAGGTTTGCCTTGAATTAGTCCCCAGCCCACTGCCACAGCAGAGAATATAAATCTGGGGAATCAGGTAGCCCCTTTGCTCTCTGCTTCCCCAACTTATTCTTATTCCCCCTGCCAGCCCCCTCCCCCTCTCCTTACTGTCAGACCCTGCTCTCCATTAAGCAAATGGAAGTGAGAAGCAAATTTGAAAATGACAAACTTGAAATTAAACATGGCCATAGCAATTTGTATGTAGTACCCATACACTCAGTTCATTTAGAATTGATCCATGTTAGCTTGTTTGAAACCGCTACAAGTTTTAGCAGTGGTACTCCATTAAATACACTTTTGAGCAGCACTTGGGCACCAGACTATGCGTGATATTAGTCCAAAGCCAAAGTCTTCTGGTTTACCACATATTTAATTGGGTTGGGCCCCACCAGAGTCAACAGCATTTCAAGCCATGGTGACCCCACAGCTCAGCACTACTCAGTATGTGTGTGTACCCCCATACAGAGGAGCCATATGCTTATTAGCCATTCACTCATGACTGGAACTAAGTGTCCTTGCCATGAGTCCTGGGATCCTTCAAAAATGTATATGCAGATTAAGTGTAGGGCAATCTAGTCCGGCTTCACCTCATGGAGAGTGGGGAAACATTAATCATATGCGCCAGGTTAAGAGAGGGATTTTGGGTGAACTCTTTGGGGGCTCATTTCATGATGTGTGCTAGACAATTAAGAATGGTGAAGAAACAGGAACCGTTAGAAATAGGAAAGAAAGGCACAACTCAGCTGTGGGAGTGAAGAGTAAGTCAAAGTGTATGCAGTGTAGTGGCTCACAAGGACTTGAAAAAGAGTCAGCAGAGAGTAGGACTGCACTTATTGGGCATTACTCTATATCCTATTCAGATGAGCTGCATTAACATATCCTTGTGGTAGGTTCCCATCAGTATGTTTGCCCCATATGAGCTATGTGTTTTATAGTCATGATCAGTGCTGGCTGCACTTAATCAAGTTCATAATTGGTTTTTAATGCTGAGCATATGCTGCTTTTGGTAGTTTAATGATAGACAATATATTTAGTGAAATTTCCTTCTATGCAATAAGACAAGGGGCATTTCCCTCCCCTCCCCCTCATGTCAATTGGGAGGGGAACCTTGTCTTGTATTGGAGTAAATATAATACAGTAAAATCGCTGTTATCTGGTACTTCACCAACCGGAATACCTTACTAACCAGAATTTCAGTGCCGCACCACTTTGCCTCCAGCTACACCACTGAAAGCAGTGGGGGACACAACTTTGCCTCCTGCTGCGGGGAGTGGGGGGACCGGTGGCAGGGCACATGGGGAGGGAAAGTCTGCACCCATATAATCCTAAACTAGAGGTTATGTACTTATAGTTAAAATTAAAGTTCAATCCCTTTTTCTTTTTTTTCTTTTCCCCTTTTTTAAGGCATCCCTCAATATTAGTCATATACTTATCCTCGAAAACACACACAGCACTGGAGTTGGTAGTTCAAGATACCCTACTGCCCAATAAATGTGTATCTATCTTCATCTAAAAGGAAAACCTCTAGAACTTCAAACATATACAAAATTTTACTTACACTAGTACCACTGTACTCAATGTGTAATTACAACTGTGAGTCAAATCTCCCAGGTATGTGTTTGCTGGGTTTGTGGCCATATTCACTAAATTACCTCCCCCTCTTTTTTAAACCACTAATTACAATGTTTATACTAAAAGAGAACTTCTGAATTAACCCATCCCAAAATACTAATATCCTAAAGAAGGAAAGGAAAGAAATGCAAATACAAAAAAGGAAAATACTAATGAAAATATTTTATACACTGATTACTATTACACCACGTAAGGCTTCTATTGCCAAATCCAGGTGCACAATACATTAGCAAAGTAACAGGAAAATATAACTAAGAATATAAAAAGTCAAGTTTGTTAAAGAAGTTCTATACATAACTGAAAAAATAAAAGATCTTATCCTGTACTCCTTTTTTCTGTTGCCATAATTATATAATAAAACAAAAGAGAAACTGTTTCATAAATAGCAACTTCCTCAAGACTGAAACACAGCAATGAAAAAGCACTGGGATTTTCATTTTTAAATTTATCATTTCTCAAATTTTTAATCAAGTATACATTGATATGTAAGACCCACCCTCTGTCCAAGCTGGCAAGAACTGCCAAAATCAACAATCTTGATAGCGCTCCGTTTGGGATTACACAGCAGGATATTCTCAGGTTTTAGGTCACAGTGAATGATACTAAGTTCAGGAGTCGCCAGGAAAAGCAGTGCAGTGCACATCTGCTGCGCAAACTTTCGTGTCAGGTTCAGTGAGACACCTCTGAAGTTGGTGTTCCGCAACAGGTCATAGAGGTTGTAGGACAGCATTTCAAAGACTAAGCAGAGATGGTTTCGGAACATAAAGTGGCGTTTCAAATGCACTTTAAAAGGAAGAAAGGGAATAATTTAAGTATGTTTGTTATCACCAGTACACACACACACACACACACACACACAAGACACATACAACAGCACTTTAATAGATCTATTGGAAGTTGAATTTGAAAATCTTGGTTCATGGAATGTTTGTTAAATCAAGGCTTTCAACCTAATACTAAAACTACATACTCACACTATATCACTATTTTGCTACATGCTAATGTAACACTTTGTAGTTTTCAGGATTTTAAAAGACATTTCATCACATAATACAGTGTGTAGTTCTATTTTAGATATGTATACCCTCTAAGTTAAAATATTTAAAAAACTTACCTAGAAATATAAAAACGTATTTCTAGATGAACAAATATGATACTGAATAAAATAACTTAAACAATCCTGAATAGATAATTTAGTATTAGTGTAAATTAACATTTTTAAAATATGTATTTCCATATCAAGATAAATCAATACAAAAACATAAAATTAAGATCAAAGCTAGTATTTTTAAACTGTTAAAACACAGACACAGGGTAACAGAAGATAAATGCATTATCTTCCCCTCTATACTTCTTCTCAGGCTTCCCCTTCCTCTGTTCTGATTCTTCCCCATTGACTTCTATCATCCTTCCCTCTGATTCCCTAATTTCCCATTCCAAAGAACAGGCTATTAAAACATGATTTTTTAACAGACTTCTTCTGCATGCTACCTGGCTGTCAATTCAGTTTTTATTATGAAATTAAAAAGACAGTGAAAACACCCCCCCCCCCCCCGAAAAAAAACTGCATTTAAATCAACTGGAATAGAAAGGCTTCTGAAGTTTAAACCTATTTTTTGTGCTCTGACATGGTAAGAGTAATAATACTTACTTGTGACTTCTCTGTTTTATTAGAGATCCTTGTGTGTTTTGAAAAATAAAACACACTACTTAACTATCTGTTTCCTTCTGTATCCTGGTTTTCTGAGTATAGGTTAAATAGCTGAAACTCCTCCCTGTCTTGACATATTTTATTGTTGGTCCTATCATCTTGTAATCTCCTTGGATCCACAACTCAACTTTACAACACCACTCTCCCATCACTTAGTACAAGGTGCACAACAAAACTTTTAACTTTATACTAAAAAATGGCTAGTTCCTCTGCTGGTGGAAAAAGAAGTACAGAAAGGAAATACTAGGAAATACGAGATCCTTTTTGTACTCCAGTTGACATCTCGTCCCAGAAACAGGAAGCTAGCCACGCTAGTCTGATGTCCAGCAGAAGGCAGGATAAATATGCACCTTACAGGTGCATCAGAAATACACAAAGCTGAAGTCCAAGTGAGCTCAAGCTTGCAAAAGCTTCCGCATCTCTAATTTAGTCAGTCTATAAGGTGCATCTCTACCCTGCCATTTCTTAGAAAGCAAGAACTCAAACATGGGAAAAGGCTACATTTAGAGGCACATTAAAACACTTAAGAGCTAATGGTACTTGCACACCAGCACAGAGGCTGCTCCTTAATGTTGAATTCCAATGCATCGGAGCAGATTTGATTAATCAAGTCTGCTAGAGTGTGGCAATTGCCAAGCTCAAGCAGCCTCCTGTATCACATGTATCAGCATCTCTGTGCTTAAAAACAGTGGTGGGGGCGCTTGAACTAAAGCTCATTGAACAAGCTGTAGTTCAAGCACCCTCACCGCCATTTTTAAGCACAGGGACGCTGATACAGGAGAACCAGCAGTGCTTTAATTAGAGCGGTTCTCCAAGAGCCATGACTATGCTGCTTTCAGTGTGCATTGGTGTTGCAAAGAAGCAGTATGGCTTAATTTTCAAGCTTAAGCTTAATTCCTTTGAGGAAACTGATACAGATTTGGTCAAATGAATTTTTATGTAAACAGTAAGAAGGACTTGTACGCATTAGAAGTGCTAGCTGAATAAAACTTAAGAGCTTGGATCTATATTTTTCCTTAAGAGAGAGTAAGCAGTCTGGTTTTCTATGCTCAGGCGCACTAAATAAATAGATCTGAAAGGATCCAGACTCCAAGGATATGTTAACTGAAAAAGGGATAAGACATTAGGGATGAAAGTAGGTGGATGATGTATTATAGAAAGCAATGAGAAATCTAACATGTGTAACACCCAGATGCTCTTCTAGAAGAAGTACTAGCCATTAAATAAACTTTGTTTTTTGGGATAAAAGGGTAAGATGAATGGAAGAAATAGTTCAAAGGCATGTTTGCAAAGGGCCTTCAAACAATCACTTGTGCAAAGCTTTATAAAGAATGACTTCAGAGCAAGTAATCAGTGGTTGAAAACTTGGCAGCCCATGTTCAATTCTGTACCTTAAAACTATAAAAAGCTGAAGGTGTGTCCCGTCATAATATCATATATAAGGATGAAAATGTTTTCCTGGCAAGAAGCACTAATCAAATCACTTCTGGCTCAACTACACAAATACAGAATATGCATTTATGTATTTCACAGACCCTGCACCATCCTTTGACCCAAACAGGCATCCAAGACCAAGACATTAATCTGCAGTCAGAGGATCCATCAAGGCATACCTTACAAAGTGTCTTCTCTCTCTGCTTGCTTACTAGCTGAAGGAGCATTTTATATTCACTGTTGGTATCAATATTCTGTCATAGCACTGAAAGTACTAAACTCTGGAATTCAACAGATACTGTTACAGGATCCTGAAGTGAAACTGAAACCAAGTCATCAAATCTTAGCAAGACATCAATAGCCTTAAACAGCTAAACAAAGAACAAGTAAGAAAGCACTATGTACCTGAATGTGCTGAATTAATTATTTTGTCTTGTAGATTCTCTGTAATGAACAAAAACCAAACTTTTGCTGGTGGGATCACAATGAGTCATCAGCAAGTCCAGTAAGCAACTGACTAACGCGGATCTTAAATACCAACCCTTCAGAGGGCTGCTGCTATTGTAATCAGGCAAGTCAAAAGGAACACAAGTCATGTACTGCAATTGGTGCTGATCCACTGAAAGCCCAGGAAATGACTATCCTGACTAGTTGATCAATGTAACTTAAATATGCAAGGGCATTTCTGCTAAACATACTGAACAAGCAATATCTATTTTAAACTTATGAAGACACATACATTGGCTTAATGTCTCTAGTTATGCACAAGACTGAAAAATATATACCCATAAAATTCCCAATCAAGAATTCCCCATTAGAATGTGCTGAAGTGTCTTGCTATCTCAGAAGGGTTACCTACAGAAAGGAGACCTCTACTGTGGATTTTAATCAAATATTCAGTATACTGATCTGGGAAGAGAGATGATTCAAGTTTGATGAAGTGCACAAAATAACGGACTTGCTTCTTGTTTTCAAAACATACTGTACAGAGTTGTTGGAGTTAAAACAATCAAAAGGATGCCTGCAAGCTTATTGCAGATTTACAAAGGGATCTTTAAAGATATGCACCCCTCACCCCACCGAGCTGGAAAAAAAAAAAGTATCAACTGGGTCTGAACTAGTTTCTTCTTGCCCCTTGGAACGTTAGGTTTTCTGTAAGAAAGATCCATACGTGAATCCATCAGGAAAGTGTGGGGGGGAAATGAAGGTGGAAAATATGTTTTCGTGATGAGGAAGAAACACTGAGTTCCTGCAACGTTTGATCCAAAACATATTTGAAAGTGCTCCCTTTGAAAAAAGGTCAGAAATCAAATTCATCCAGTTCTGGAATTCCACCCTCCAGAACCTAAGCCTAGAGTTCTTTTATGAGTCAACTAGGAGAGATAGGGTGATTAAATCCAAGACTGCACTGTACAGAAAGTTTGAGACTGACCAATTACCTTCCCAAGCATTTTTTAATAGAGATTCACTGAGCACAGATTTATGACCACTTTGGGGATGCTTTATAGAGAGGCTTTGGCAGTGTTCATAAAAACTGTTGGCAATGGACTTAATTATGATTTGCATAGATTTTAAGTTGTGATCCAAAAAAAAAAAATAGAGAAATACAGTCCTTTTATACAGAACAAGAAAACCTTCTAACTGCAGACATAACTGTAAAGTCTACATAGAGTACAGTCCCCCAAGAGTCAAACATAAAAATATGCTCAGCCATCAATAATGCAGATCTGGCATCAGGTCTCTTTCAACCCTCAGGTGATTAATTCTTCAACATCTAAAGTAAGCTGGAAAACATCCATTAGACTTCTGCTTTGGCTAAAAAGGTCTCCTTGGAGGAGAGGGAAACTACTTAATCAAATCACATTAGGATAGTTGGCAATGTCTTTAATGTCTTAATTTCTGAGGGAAATAACTTGACATACTGTCAAGCAGTGCTCTTGTACTTTTTCAAATCGAACAACCGTGGTCCTTTTCTTTCAATCTGACAAGTTCAGGTATCAAAAGGAAACATTTGACAAGTCCCAGCATTCTCCATCCACTGGATACAACAGGAAGTAGATGGGGAGTTTGGAGAATACAGAAACAATTCCTGACCATGCCCCAAGCAGTTTCCACGATGCCTGAAGAAAAAAGTGAAATGAGAAAGGTAGCCACAGGTTGTCAGAACCCACTGCAGAACTCTCATTATCCAAAGTCGACACAGAGTAACAGATTCTCTCTGCCATGTCCTCCTAGAAGGCTAAGTTTAAGAGCTGTGCAATGTTTGGCTCTGGCTGGAAAGGTAATGAAAGCTGTTATTCCTTTTTAGAACATACCTAGCAAAAGCAGGCAATGTTAGATTAATTTGTACCAACAGACAGACTAACTGTTTTAAACTGACCACCATTGTAAAACTAAATACACAAATTCAATATAAAAACTAGTTGCAAGGTCCTGGGCTCTACAACCCAGTTCTCAGGTATTTATAATTCATTACATAAGAATAATATTTAAATACCTATATAGTATTTCATTTCAGTGTCATGTTTGTTCATAAGCTCGAGAAGTCGCACTTCAATCTGGGCTTGATTTAAGAAAGCCTTCTTGTTCTTTATAATTTTAATAGCCACCCACTCCTGTTCCACACGATCATAAGCTTTTACAACCTATGAAAAAGAAAAGAAAAAAAGACACATACACTAAACAACATAACTCTACTTTAGTTATTCAAGTCCCTATGTTTTTCATTAACAGTTATTTAGAGAGATCTTCAAAACCAAGGAAGTTTCAAATTATGGATTTAACATTTTTTCATGAGACTCATTTTTCAAAAAGCACTTGAGGATTTTCATGTCTTATTTAATCCTACAATGAAGCCACAGGTGATCTGTGTGACATTAATTTTCATGATAAACATATCACAGAAGAGAATTCAGACTTCTCTGAGAAACTAAACCAAATAATCATCTTTCCTAAAGTAAAAGTATCAAATCAGCAAAACAAATTTAGAAAAACCTAACAGAGTAAAAATCTTTTTTCAAGAAAATGCTCAAGATTCAGAAATATTCTGTGCTCAACCTCCCCTTTCCAAGCCTTATATTGTGATGTTACATATTTATTACATAACCCATCATACCATGCACTTATGTCTCGACCACAGATAAATTTCAGTTTAAAGTTTCTACAACACAAGGCAACAAACTTACGGACTGATATCAAATTCAAGTTAAAGAGTTTGATTAACTTGCAAAATCAATTACTGACATGCATGCTTGAATACATTCAAATTTCATGTTTAATAATGGTGAAAAAAACCCCAAAAGAATGTTTATTCAAAATTACCGTATTGGAAGGGTTTTAAAATAATGAAGTAAATCTTCCATGAAACAGAGATGCAGGCTAGGTAGTAACTAGATGTTACTTATAAACTCAAAATGAGTTGAAGATTTTTAGCTAACATCAGGGTGGATTTGATTTAAATCAAATCAATTTAAATCATGATTTAAATCACTGGTCAGGAAGCCTCAATTTAATCACTGTTTTCTACAAAAAGCATTCTCGTTGTTTGATATAACCTTCATTAAAATATTCCCAAACAGGGTCTCTTTCATGGCCTTATAAGCCTGCTGCCATGATAGGTTTTCCCTTCTATCATACCATTCCCTCACTAGATCTCAAAGCAATGGAGAGAGGCTATATTCAGAAGCTTTCTCTCTCAAGACTTCTGGAATAGTCTGCTCAAAATGTTTCTCTTTTGTTTCTACTGCCCCTCCCTCCTTGCATTTATCTCCAGACTCCTGCTTCATGCCCAAATCTACTTCACCCCCAACAATCCTTTATTCATTTAACGTCTTGAATCTGCTTTTCTAAAGGGAGGCGAGGGTTTGACTCTGTGTACACAAACTTGCAGAGAGACAAGAGGGCTGTTGTCTCCCATCTCCATATACTGCTGTTAACAAGGATGTTATCTCTGGAGACACAAATCCACAGTTGAAGAACTGAAACTAAGCATCACAGAGATGCTTAATGGGTTTTTCTGGACTGAGCACTGAGGGTAAGGTGGTTCTCTTTAATCTTTACTAATCTAGAGAAGAGCCTCTGGGAACCCCATAAACTTGGGCCCCTAATATAGTCCGTGGCCTGTTGTGACCTATTTATAAAACTTTTCTGAAAAGGTTACATGAATATATTGTCTCAAATAGTATATAATTAAAAGTTATAATCCTTATTCTACAATGGTATCTTTGAGCTGTAACATATCTTTATATAGGGGTTTTTTAAGCATCTTAACAACAACAAAATCTGATTTAAATAAACAAGCTAGGTGTTTAAAAAAATCATTGATTTTTATCTGCAGTGGCTAACATCCATTACCTGTCCAAAGGAACCTTTGCCTATTAAAGAGTCAATTTCATAACGATCCATCCACTTTTCCCCATTTTTCACGATATAGTCATAATTGTCATCATCATAGCCATCATTGTAAACTTTCCGCTCTTTTTTGTGACTGGAATCATCTCCTTGGCCCTGTTGGTGCCGCCTCTTCTTTTTTGCATAGTAAACCTGTGGGTGAGGAAAATACTTGGTTACAGGAACATCAATTTAAAATCTGATCAAAATAGTTTCACATATTACACCTGTTCCAATTCCAACTTCATGGTTTTACACTACTTCTCCTCAAGAAATATTGTATTTTCTGACATATAACATGGCCCCAAATATAAACACACACCCTACTTTTGGAAGGTCCCAAGAAGGCAAAAAAACCCCTTAGAGCCTGGGGGCCATATGCCAGGACTCAATCTGACACACTGGTGCTGGCCCCACGTGGCATGCCATGGCCCAATCCAGCCTGCCAGTACTTGGACTTTGGGCTGGGTCTGACCCTGAGCACTAGCTCTAGAGTGATGTGTGGTGTCTGGGGCTTTGTGCTGGTTGGGGAAGGGGGCTCCCCAAATCCCAGAAATTTTGCGGGGGAGAGGTGAAAAGAGTGGTGGCAGCATTAATTGCCTTGGCTCCCAGATCTGCCACTACTCTATTTTCCCAGCGCTGCACCCCCCCCCCCCCCCCCCCCCCCCCCCCGCCCCCCAG